AAATTAAGCCTGTTTTTTTTGACAATTGAGATTTCATTGTCCCTAAATACTCAGTACTTTATTCCCATTATTCTCAATAATGATTATCATTAGATTCTCAATAGGATTTTTAAAAACTGAAATCAGCACGAATTAAAGGAATTTCTCATTTAAATAGTACATCATTATTATTTGCATTGGGAGATTTAGTGGAAAATGTGGTCATGTAACAGGGTTCATTTTCTGTAAGCAAAATATAAATATTTTTTTCTTTGGTTTGATTTGGAGTGCAGGTTGACCCTGAAATCTTCTTGATAGGCTTCTCAACAGATCTTGTCTTAAATAAAACATATAACATTGTGCTCAGGGTGCCAATATGTTGGTCATGGCTGCTAGAGAACACACGGCAGTGGAGTTAAGAAGCCAAGAATAGTTCAGATTAAAACACACACTGAGATATAGTGTATTAACACTAGTGCAATATGTAGCTATGTGACATCATAATATTTTGAAGTATATGCCACAGCAGTCCCTGTACATATGTAGGTTATGAATATGTGAGTAGGTGCAGCTCATTGGGATTATGGAATTGCTCAAGACGCTGTGCTTCATGTGACCGGATTACAGGCAGTGTAAATACAGACACATCGCAAACACACACACACACACACACACACACACATACACATGCACAGTCATCTGCTAGGCCACATTAGTGTGAGCACATGACTAAACGGCTTCTTGGGTCTCATTTCTACTGTATATGATGCAACATCATAAATATCTATCCTGCCAAATATAATATAGAAAATGTATCTAACAAGACAGTATCCTACTCATATTTAAGTAAACTCCTATGCAGCAGCACTACAAGATATAGATGAATTTGTTTCTTCATCTGAACAGATTCCGAAGAAAGCAATATTATGGATAATGGACTCGTATTTTAGCCTTAATGATGGATTTATTTCTTACAAACATGCAGCTTTTCACTTCACAAGATGTTAATTGATGGACTGGAGTGGTGTGGATTTCTTGTGGATTATTGTGATGTTTTTATCAGCTGTTTGGACTCTCAAAGGATCCACTGGTGAGCAAGTGATACAATGCTAAATTTCCACAAATCTGTTCTGATGAAGAAACAAACCCATCTATATCTTGTGTGAGTACATTTTCAGCAGATTTTCATTTTTGGGTAAACTATTCCTGTAACTTCAGTGTTTTTATTCAAAGCAAATGCAGCCTGTCTTAGAATGAAGACCCTCTTGTGCAAACTGATAGCATGTCATCATGATGTCACTCACTCCTCCCCCTTCCCCAATAATCTACTTCAGTTTCCATGACAACCTCACCAACACCCCTCACGCCTTCCAATTCAACAGACAAATGCCTGGAGTAATAAGACAGCAACTCATCAAATACATTTCTTGTCATAAACACCTGACTCTGCTCAAGTAAAATTAGTTTCTGTGCAATGAACGCTGCACCTTTTCACAGGTGCTGAACTGTGCCAAGACAAAGCGAATCTATGGATTTCAGAAGAGCTTAAAGTGGGCTGTGATATCAGGAAACATCTTAAGCATCTATAATTCCCTGATGAATGGATTGCTGATATTCACTCACACGTGGCTTTTGATTCCTCAGCTTGCATACCAGTGTGCTCACCTCTGGCTTTGTAAATAATACATGCATGCTTTGGCTGATCGATTTATAATTCAGAAGGCCTTCTCCTGCAGGACACAGAGCTCGAGGCCGACATGAAGATGCTTTGTTGCCTTTATGTCCTGTCTAAATGCAGTCGATTTCCTTCTGTCATCTCAGTTTGAGACAAGCCACCCACATAAAGACACTTCAGGGTTTGTTCTGTGCTGTCAGTTTGCCTTCAGTCAGCTTCACACACACTGACACACTAAGCTCCTTATATCAAATGCACCCTAAAAAGGCAGGTTTTCCATTTACAGAATTGCATCTGGTAGCAAACAACCTCACTGAGTGCAAACCATGCATAATGCAGAGGCCTGTGCAAAATGCACGGTAAACAGCTTCATTATTGTACGCATTGGACTGTGGTGCTGAACTGGACAGCGCCAGGTCTAAGGAATGAGGATGAGTCCAAAATGTCTCACTTACATTCCAGGTGCTTCTTCTTGGGCGCCATCACCTCGTGCGTGGTGGCTTTGCAAACGGCACGAGCCACATCGGATCCGGTGAGCTGGTACTGCGCCGCGGCGATGCGATCCGTCAGAGTCTGTCCCGACATTTTCTCCCGGTAGCGTCGACAACCACCTCGAGAATCAACTTCAGGGGGAAGGACAGCCGGAATGCATATGATATTCGCCGACAAAAAAAGAAACGGAATCCAAAGTGGCTCTCGAGAAACTGACAATGTCAATACCTCGTTTCGGTTTACAACCAGAGCGGCTGAAATTGCGTATTTAAAAGCACACAATATATATACGGTACTTTCAATTGAATGCTTTAAAAAATTCCCTCGTAGGCGCCTAGCATGGGTGGGTTTCAGCACCCTGGATAATGCCTCTATTACGTATCGCCCTATGACGAGATATTTTCTGGCTCTCGTGGGAAATAAATAATAAAATTAATACGTTAAACCTTCACCTTTGATTATCATATGTATGAAAAACCCCATCTAACCGAAAAGACAGAGAGTTTTGCGTTGAATTGGTTCTTTTTGGGATGAAGTTAATTAAATAAACGAATAAAAACGAGTTGCAAACACGCTCCGTTGATTAACCCTTCACTATAAACCTGCTCGGGATTCCGGAGCCTCGTTAATATTCGGTCGCAGCCCGTGTGTCCTTCCCGTCTGGTCGGATGATGATGGTGATGATGATGTGTCTCGTTCAAGCCTTTTCAAGGGCAGGAGTTTACTTTGAAGACAAGTATATTTTCACGTTTCACTGCTATATTGTGCAGATCTTGGATATTGTACTTGCTTATTTTTCTGGTAATGCGGGTTACAGTCCTGCCTCGTCGGTGGTCGGTAGACCTGGTCAGGTGACGCATAACTGGCTCTTAAAGGGAAGCGGCGTCACGCTGTCAAACGCCTTTAAGGGACTCTCATCTCATCTGTCTGCATTCTGCTCCCCGAGCACAGAGCTAGATTCTCTGTCACGAGCTTTCAGTGATATTGGTTGAATAGACGGCAGTCAAATGATCGTGTAATGTATAGATGATCTTCAAATTTGTTTGAGAATTCTGTTACATTTTTGGACTTTTAATGCTTTTCTATGTGCTCTGTGAATAGGCTTCGTATAAGCTATATTTCTGTCAGGACCACTATCGTCAAAGATGATTGACAATTAGCATACAGTTTGGATTGGCGGTATGGTTCTGACTGTGGATCCTGGATATGCAATAGCTGATCCTCTGCATGTAAAACTACTCTAGTCTACACCTCTAGACACTGAATATGAAACCAGCAGCTTCATCATTCGACCACTAGGTGGAGGCAATTCAACACTATTGATATTTTTCTGCTCGTAGAAGAACGTTTTTGTTTTTTTCATTTTTCAATTTCCACAACAGTTTAACCCTCATAAAGTTTATCTAGTATACCTATTTACCAGTGAGACAATGTTTGTAAATTCTACCAGTGAATGCACTAATCTTTAACTTCTTTCTGTGTCCAGATATTTTTCTTACACTGTCTTTCATGGGTCTGCATCATGTGTCAGACGGCCCAGAGGAAAGACATCATGGATTGTGGCAAAGTGGAGTGAATGCAGGTGGCAGAGATGGTCCCTGTGACTTATAAACGGAGTCTGCAGGAACAAGTGACATGTCACACATTGTCAAATGCAGAACTGTGTGACTTTAGTAATACATATTTTTGATGATGTGAAATTTTGTCAGTTAAGTAAAGCCTTGTATCAAAAGCCAAATTTAACCGGTACAACACAATTTTTACAGCATTTAATATAAATTCACATTTCACATAAAATAAAATGTTACGGTCTTCTTCTGGATTATGATATAAAACATTTTTTTTGCTGTCACCAGCACTTATGACAGTGTCTGCATGTTGTTCAAAAGAATTTCAGATCATATATTTGTATGAGAATTGTGTGATACCAGATGTATTCAAATATGTAGAATTAAAGGATCTACTAATATTTGTAATTTATTAATCCTTGCATTTTTATTTTGCATTCTTTTTCTGTCAGATAAAAACATGCACATCATCTTGTTACACTTTATACAGTGAAGTTGTAGTCATGACCCATCTTGACAAATATGTTTACTATTTTTGTCATTTCAGTCCTGGAAAGTGGCATTCACTTTTCATCTGATCGACCCGTTTCCTCACTTTCTGCTGATGCAGTTGCTTCAGAGGGTCGACTGGGGTCATGTGTCCAATGTAGATTGGTGGTTTTGTACTCAATCTTTTCCTCAAAGATACAATGAACTTTAAGGAGGGAGATTCTCATTTGCATTTGATTGGACAGCTAATCTGTGTGGTATTGAATTTCATAGGATCTTTTTTGTAGGCCTATTCCTTTCTGGGCATAAAAATGCTGTAATTGTTGGTTATAATTTTTGTTTTTAGATAACTTTAAACCATAATTCATATACTACACACAGTACAGTATTTTACATTGTAAGTAGTAATTGAGTTTAATTGTACATAAATGTACATTTAAATGTACGTATATATCCTTTAGTTTGTTTCTAATGTAACGTAAACTATAATAAAATCTGGATAATTATTAGTTTTCTTGTTATCATTCATAACATATTTTCAAATGTGGTCATGCGCCGTTCCCGCTCTTCTTCGCGCCTGCAGCACACCGGAAATTGTCATCGCCCCATTTCCCCCTGGTGACTGTCACTTCCGTAAGATTGCATTAAGCAACACGCCGCTGCGCGACACACTCACGTACACACACTAAAATCCAAACCGCGCTTAAAAACCGGATTTATCACACCGAAATGCATATCAAAACAGGTGAGGGGTGGTATAAAGATATATTTTGCTCGATTTGGTTGTTTAATGGAGAGAGTGTTTTGTTATGTAAAGTTGTTTGTGCTCGAGTGGGACAGAATGAGACTTATGAAACTTTTGATTCTCGATCTTTCTGATGTCACAGTCATCTTTGGTATCGTTTATATTTTTAATGATCTGAAATTACAAGCAGTGGCTCTTATGTAATCCGACGTGTTGAGTTTGTTCTGCGGAGCGGTGTGAAGGCGGTTGTTATGGGCGCTAAACATCCAAACACAAGCGGCCTGCTGTTAGCGTTAGCAATCTCCACACGCTTAAACCTCCTTTAAATGTCCTTAATGATATTTTGACTCATATTTAACGAAATAATAATGGCTTAGAATTACAAATACATTTATTTTGTTAATTTAGGCTATATAAAATGCGTGCTAGTATCTACGTTTTGTGTCGTTTCCAGACTGGTGTAAACTGCGTGACTATCAGACGGCGCTGAAATCAGTGATCTATAATGAGATGTTAATAAATTTTGTTCGAGTAGGACATTTTTTTTTTAGATCCGTCTTAGTTTCTGTCGTTAGGCCTCTGAGACTGCAGATGTGAATGAGGCGCAGACTAGAAATTTCCAGTTACATCTTGCTATGGCTCATTGACTCTTTGCTTTGCTTGGGGCATTTGTATGCATTCCCGTGTGTATACGTGTGTGTGTATATATATATATATATATAGTGGCTGGCTAGGCAAGAATCATAATTAGATGACATTAAAATATTTTTTTTTTTTTTTTTTTTAAGGATCACAATGCGCCCTCAAAATACTAATGAATTGTCATTGTAATTCTTTACCAATCTTTGCCACTATCTTTCAAACCACTAGGCATTACCCATTTGTCAGCAAGACGTTTAAATATTATTATTTTTTTTAAATATAATGAAATTTAGTATGCTCAGTTTTTCTTTTATATGTATTAATAAGTACAGGTCAGAATAAGCATGTCGTTTAATTTTTACATAAATATATTTGTTACACTGAATGGCGGTGGTACATTTATTTCACCAATGTCTTGACATTTTATTTTCACAAAGGTTATTTGAAACTTTAAAGCAGACACTTAACTTGCATTTAATGTGCTTTCTGTTTATATAAAATCACTCAGGCAATGCTTTTATTCAGAAAGTTCTATAATGGATGTTTTTTCTTAATTTCACCAGGAATAATCTTAAAATAAAATCACTTCTATAAATTTAATTTGATGCAAACACCAAAATGTGAATAAGGCAGCTGAGGGAAATAGTTAAGAGATTTAATATGATTGAGATTGCATTAGAGAGACATGATTTGGGACAATCAAACATGTTTCTTAACAGTTTGTGTGTTTTATGATTTAAAAATTACATCTGATTCTTCTGAATTTATTTATTTTTTTTAGGTACTTGGGAGTCAAGCAATGCAGCGTGCGAGTCCGACCCCTTGTGTGATCCTGCTGTCTTAGTGTCACCCCCTAAACCAGAACCACAGATCCGAAACCGTCGCCTCTCCCCCGGCTCTGGCAGCTGTGGTGGGGGAGGAGGGGGCTGTTTCTCTGGGATGGATAAACGTCAAGCCTCACCGAGTAGCCTGGAAGGTTCTCTGAATGGGGTGGGTCACACCCAGACCTTCACGTCGAGAGAGCGGCGCATCCAGAATAAGTCAAGAAGCTTTCGGCGTGATGGCCCGAGAGCGGGCCCACGTTCAGATGAGAGACACTCCAGAACCGGTCAGAAGGAACGATGGGTAGACAACAGCCTGTCTTTACTCAAACCTCCACCTGCTTTCCCAGTGAAAGACAGCCCCGCCAAGCTGCAGCCGGCCGTCAGCTATGCCTCCAAAGTGAAAGCAGGGGGAGGTTCTGTTGGGGCAGCTGAAGAGCCCCCTGGTATCGGGGTTTTGCTGCAGAACCAGTGGGGGCTCAGCTTCATCAGCGACAGCCCGGAGGCAGATGTTCCCCAGGAGAAGAGTCCAGTTCTCCACCCAGTTGCTGGCGAGGTTCCTGTAAAACCGGCCCATGTCTCTTCAGAGTCTCTGCCCGGTCAGGTCACGAGAGGCTCAGAGAGTTCAGAGGAGCTGCTGCTTAGCTGTCGCCACCTGGAGGAAGCATTGGATTATCACACACAAGGTAAGGCAAAAGTAGTTAAGGTTGCAAAAGGCATTCTGTTTTATCTCTCTTATCTCACTGTAATTGTTTTTGATCCGCAGAATGGAAAGCAATATTATGGAGACAAAAACAAGGTTGGTGTCTGTCTGTTTTTATTACTCTCCATTCGGGCTGCATGATATTTCAAAATGAAATTGATATCGCGATATGGCGATTGTCAATCACGGAGACTGCATTTTAATTAAATATATGCACTGCCGGCTCCAGAGTGGCACTGCCCATGATGCAGTGCTTCAGCATCTCAGGCTCTATTCATTTACTGTGAATCGAGCTGATATGAGACACAAAACTCCAGACTACGAGCTGCCCCATGCAAAGGAACACAGTGCTGAGTTTCATTCTGAAACCTGGCAGAATATGGATCTGTTTTCTGGCAACCTGTCAAAATAAAAGCTTGATGGTTTAAGGAATTAATACTTAAATATTAGTGTTGTAATTTTACAATTTTTGTTAAATACTTGGTTTTCTTAAATACAACATTTTTACATCAAGAATGTAATATTAGTGCATTTATTTTGTTTAATATTTCATAATCACAATAAAATCAAAATTTCTTTAAAATATTTTTATATGTAATTTTTGTAGTTTTACATTTTTATTGAATACTCTATTTTAACATTGCAATATTACAATACATTTCTTAATTAGTTTTATATTTTAAAATAATCACAATAACATCACTATTATTATTTTTATTTTATAGTCATATTTTATTGAATTGGTCAAAAACGGTGGGAGTATTCCTTATAAAAACTCAAGTGAAGAGAATTTTTGTAACAGTTTACTCTATTGAAAGAGGTTTGAGTTAGTTCTTATAAAGAATAAACAAGTGTGAAAAAGAAAAAATCCCAAATTCAGGTCTAAAAGGATCTTTGACAGACACAAAAATGGTTTTATTTTGCATCTCACAACAAAATCGCCTCACTTATTCTGTAATGATTAATTCTTTCCAAATATTCAAGTCATCTGGTGAACTTTCCTGTATTTTTTCATATTGTCTACTAAACTAAATATCAGTGTTGGTTTTCTTCCAATATCATGTAGCCCTAATATCCATAAAACGAGCAGAAT